TTGATTAAGCATTAATGTTGTACATTTTGATTACAACTTCATTAAAATAATACAAATTATTTCTAATTCAAGATTTTTAATTTTTTTTTTATGTAAATTGAATCAATATTTGATTAGTAGAGGCAATAATTAAAGATCAATACAAAATGAGTAGACACATGATTTGGCGTCGTAAGTATTTGCAAAATGTAAATTCGCTCTAATAGAATTTTCACATACTCAAATTTATACCTTCCGTTTATTTTTTAATCTTATATGTTTATTACAAGCTGTGACCTTCGTCGTGTACATTTAGACCTTAAACTAGACCTTTATAGAAATGAATATTCATACATTTGTAAAAAAAGTGAAAATGATAAATGTTATAGGTGTATTGTATAAAAAAAGTGTTAATTATATTTTCATTTTAATGCAACTAAACTATAATTTCCAATAAAAAAAAATATTTATATACATATAAATACAGACAACTCAAATTTATAATACGGAAGTTTATATCTATATTTCCCAAATTTCTATAAATAAAAATTTATTTTCATATATCCGTGGGCATTCATGGATTTATACATTTAACCAATTGTAGGCTATTTTAAAAATAACAGGATGTTTATACGACTTATAATATACGTCTATTATAGAAATATATAAAAAATAAAAACATAAAAATATGTTTAAATAACAACAAACATAACTTTTAGTACATAAGAGTATTATTTTTTATTAAAAATAAGCTAGATAGCGCTAGTGTTATAAATCCCTCAACTTTATAAAACCTGATAAATAACTTATTTTAAATAACTTTCACAAAATTAAACTAAATACGTAATGTCTAAATATATATCAAAGTCTATTTTATGGATATGGTGAATAGTATGTACATACAAGATATTCAACGGGTTAAGTAAAAAAATCATTGATATATTTAAAAGAAAAATTAATTATTTTACATTTGAATGTTAAAGTTTTCATGTTCAAGTATGTTAGAAGTTTTTGGCCATAAACAATAATCTTTAAGTGGAAACATAGCCGTACATACAAAATATAGTGTGCTAGGTGTACACTACTACACCTTGACAAAAATTTAGTAGATATCAATCACAATTATTTTTAAAATTCGTGACCATGAATCATTAGTATATCTAAAAATTAAAACGGTTAATTGGCTCTTGCTGGTTTACAGGCGGAAGCTTTTTAAGCATTTTGGATCACGCAACTGACAAAAATTAAACACGATTAAATAATGTCAATGTTAGTTTAATCTACGTTAAAATTAATTTTATCGATAAGGTAATACATTTCTAATTATAAATTTTGTTCGAATTGAAACAAAATTATTTCTATTCATTAATTATAACGAACAAAGTTCTAAATAATTTTATAGAAGTTTAAGCGTTGAATGATTGTATGTATTAATTATCTTATCATATAGTTCTTAAGTATAAGTATTCTTAAAAAACCAAAAAATTAAAAATTATGCATAAGTAAGCATATTATCATATTTTAATTGTGCGATTAACAATTACATTTACCATTCAAATAGAAAAATAACTAACAAATTACTTGATGAGATTAACAAACTTGTGACATACAATTTTATTATTCCCAACAGTAGAGTATACTATGGACATCTGTCACATTCATTACAACATAATACTAATTGTGACAATTTAGATCTATTGTGGTACAATGAAGATTAAAAATTATTTATTTTAAATGATACCCATTTTCAGTATTATAAAATAGGGTTATTATAGTTTCATAACAATTCACCTAAGTTTTGACCGTAATTATGTTGGATCAGTTGAACAAAACACTTGTGCTAATAGTAACTTTATAATCATATAAAATTGTATCAATATCCTACAAAGAAATTACTATTTATCGAAACTCATTCATAAAAATTGTGTGAGCCTAATTAATAAAAACAAAAATTTCATTTTTTAAGAGGAGTAAAAAAATAAAGCCTTTATAAACTAATATTTGTATTATAAATACTAAAAGTAAAAATATTAAAAACAATTTTTTTGTATGATTTGCTTAAGTATAAAACACAAAGTTTGTAAAATAATTAATGTTGCAGTAGACGTATAGACATCTAACATTAAAAAATCAAACTAGTTAAAGATTTTTGTTATTAATATTTACAATAACACCAACATATCGAGCAATAATTCAACAATGTTTAGACTATCTACAAATGGAATCGAAACTGTAACAAAACAATTATTAGTATAATATACTAACATATTATGTTAAAACGTCAACATTTCTCTTTTGATACAAGTGCATTAACTATTATTGTGTATCATTTTGTTTCATCGCAATATTTTATGTATGTAATCACCATGTATAAGTTTGCTATAAGCTCTTTGATTCGGCTTCAAATTATAGAACTACACAATAATAGTAGAATAAAAAACGGCACAACTAAATTGAAATGTTAGTGCTGAACTGTCGATTGTCCTTAATAATGATTAATGATTCTCTTCTTATCCTTTTTTCGGGTTAATAAACATACTAAATAAAGTTACCTGAAAATTTAAATTTTATTAAAGGGATATAAATGGAATAAGAAATGTCTGTAGTTGTTTAAGGTAATAAATTACAGGATAATAGAAATGAATTATTTCAATTGATTTTTGTAAGAGAATGAGAATCTGGTGATGTCTTGGTTCGAACTTAATTCGACAGAATTTCTATATTATATGTCTATATAAATGTTTTTTATATATAGTGTATTTATAGCAGTATTATAGTATGTCAAATAATTTGTCCTTGGATCCAACCGCATATTAATGATCATAATTTTTTTTTATATGCGTGGAGTGCGTTAGATATTACACTATATTTTAATTGTCATTGTTTAGATGTATTAAAAACATTAATTATTTTAGTATAATGATTATTTTTAACACGGAACATGGAAAACTTATCAAGTTTTTAAACATTATTTAATGTAATCATAAAAAAAATCTCATTATTTAAATTGAATAGCAAATGTAGGCTTTATATCACCAAATTATGTTCTGAAGTTCAAGGCTGCTGACAACATAAAACAATCTATATAAATATCTCATTTGTACATTGGGACTTCAGAAATTATGTGATTATAATATATTTTTTATCTTGATTGGGATTATTGATTTTACAATAGTAAGTATTTTTTTTATTTCAGAGTTAATATAAAAATTATTTAGATTTTTGTTTCAGATTCGAGTATTAACTTTAACATCTCAAATTGCATTTTGATGTCACCTTAAGGGTATCAATAAAAAGTATATCTTCATACGATTTTGAAATATATCTGAAAAGTAAAAAAAAAGTTATTATTAAATGAGATATATTAAGATATATGAATCAATAAAATAGATTTCTCTCCTTCTAATTATTTTATGTATATGTAATTTAATATTCTGATAGTTGACATTTATTAAAACACATTTTTTCCTCAAAAAATTAAAAATAAATCAAATGTAATAATGTAAATTAAAAGAAAATAATTATTTAATTTAAATTAAATTGATAGTTTTTTAGCTCATAATGCATACAACAACTTTATAAAGTATGTTAATAAAAACAGTATCAATATTATATATATATAATACCACAGTATTATACATTCACACTCGTGATGTCCTTTTTAACACATTGATATCATGAAACATAATGATCTTCTCTAATCGTGGTGATTTGGATGTTTCTATACTGTAAAGCGAAAAATTGTAATAATTTTTAGAACACATGTACTAAAAATCTGTTCTAGGTTGACGACCGCTATGTCACCAAGGCTAAAATAAATAATTGTTGATACTAGATAGGTTTTAACTAGGTTTACATTGTACATTTTTTTTAACATAGCATAATGTAAGTATGATACAACTATTGACACATCAGCGTTGAAAAGCGATATTATATTATTTAATTATTCTGCAGTCTGTATGAAATTTAAAACGAGCAAAATGATTTTTGAAGGACAAACTTACACGTGTGCAAACAAATTCATTATAATAAATACTTCTATCTCTCATCAGAGCTTGAAAATTAATGCGTGCTTGTGTGCTGTGTGAATAACCTAAAACATACTTTCTTTTCGAGGGTATTATGTATGCCCACTTTATATTTTTTCGATAGAAGTATAACATAATAGAGAATTTGTGTTGCGTGATGAATAATCTAAATAAATTATATCATACTTCTTTTATGTTTTTCTAATCTGAATATTCACTTTAGTATTTAGTCTTGAATTAAGAAATGAATGAACTAAATACTAGTATTATTAATGCATGATGTTTGAATCACTTATGTTGTTGTTTATATTTTTTTATCAAGATGATTTTTTTTAAGATTATTAAAAATTTTGTCATTTAATTGTCAAAATTTAGTATTAAAAGAAGTGGCGCGATGATAAAATATTGTGCTGATGACACCAAATAATTTATTTGTAAAGAAAAAAATAAGAAAAATACAGTTTGATTTTTTTTTAAATTAATTTTTAAGCACAAATTAAAAAACAACAAAAATTACTGAACCGTTATATTTAATATTTGTTTTTCTCTAACACTGTGCATTATAGTTTGTACTGTTAAGGTTTACTTTGAAATGCATACTGCTTAGTTGGTCAAGGCACATCAATAAAATAAGATTGGTTTCCATTTATAAGGTCGAATTATTGTTATTGTAAAAGTATTTTTATTTATGAACACTGACAATTAAAAGACCTTCTAAGACTTATTATTCCGTACAAAAATGTTTGAATAATATAGTAGTGAAGATAGTGTGTCATGTGATTGTTGTATGGATACTAGTTATAAGACAATAAGGCGAGTTAGTGTCTAAGCCAAGGCCATCTTATAAATATATCGACATAAACTTAGGGATTTGATACGATTTTTGATTGACTACAACCATAAACTTCTAATTGTGTTTTTGAGAGTTAAGAGATACATGTATGATTTTAAAACTTGACTTTTTTTATTGTATCGTTAGTTTAAAATTCATTCATCAGCACAGTAATACAACTAAGAAAGTTTCTGTTGAAAATTAATAAATAACTGATTAGTATTAAACAATTTAATAATACTTTTGTAACTAAAAAACTGTTTTACAATATTGTAAATAATTTTGGTAAAAGAAATTAAAGTAACTGAAAGTAAAATAATAAAGTAATAAACATCTCCCGGCGTAGCAATATTGCGATTGACCAGCTGGCCGTGCGAATATTGTACTTTGTGAGTAGGTAATATAAAATTCAAGGTCGTACTAAGCGTGTAGAGATGATTTATTATAAAAAAAACAACAGTACCAACAATAACACCAAAAGAAATTATACCGTATAGTAATAATATTAATATACACACTTTGTACCCACACACCACCTCCGTACCGTTTTCACTTTGCAGTATTACGCGCTTTGAGTCCAGCTGTAATTGTGACAAACAAGTGATAAATTATTCACAATATTTAAAAAAAAAAACACTAAATCATTCGCAATGACTTGGTACACGCGAACGCAGTCACAAATAGTGCTAACTTTTTATTCTATTAAATAAGTAAGTTCAAAGTCTACTCAAGTAAAAATGATAGATATAAGTTTAAAAAAATAAACCACTTTCAAAAGGTACTAAATGATTTTTCATTTGAAGCTTGCTAACATCACAGTCACCAGTTAACCACTCTATAATCAGTTTAACCAACATTTTATCTGTAATCAAATATTTTAAAAACGGCCATTAAACTATTATAATATATTAGTTTCATGACTTTTATTATGAAAAATAGCATATTTTCCAATTGATTTATGATAATTTATAAATGATTTGTGTTGAAAAAGCCATTCTATTTTTAGGATTCTAAGAATTCAATGTGATACTTCTACATTTTACAGATTAATCAAGCGTGGTGAAATCAAACGTAGTACGGAATACATTTAATTACCATATAAAAAGGAATTCTTCGGAATTTAAGATAGCCTATCGAGTTTAATATTAAAAATCATTTGTCACACTTTTTCATCTCAACTCTCTATTAAGTGTAAATAAAAAGGACGTGAAAAGAATATTGTCTTCAAAATGTTTTACTTCACTTAAATTATGCATAAATTTGCTTACAGTATTGAAAGTGTACAACTGTACAAGGAACCTATTTAAATTTATTTTATGGAATATATTGGCTCTATTAAAGTAGAGATAAGAAAATTAAGATACTAAAGAAGTGTTGATTTAGCGTTTTTAATTTAAAAGAATAATTTTGGAAAATAATTCACTCCAATTTTAATTCTTTTAGAAATGTTTTCACTTTTAATAAAAACATTTGCCTAGTCGGGTCAAAGTACAGACTTTCTCGTTAAAAAAAAAGACGAATTTTTAAGTTTAAGTATAATTTTATGCTTATATACTAGCTTCGGTGTGATACTGAGTATGTATTAATTTTACTGTTTTTTTTAATGTATGATGCTACTAATATGTACTTGAGAGATATTAAAAGTACATACATTTTCGATAGTACCCAATGTTACCGTGAATATGATAAAAGTCTCAATGATGATATGAATTACCAGAAAAAATAAAGATTATTCCATTTGCTAATAAAAAATTTGTATAAAATATAATTTAACTTATATTTATATTTACAATTATAATATTTAATCTTTTTCATACCTCAAATTAAAATAATTCCAATATTATAATTAACAATACTAAGAGTATTTAATTTTTAATGATTCAATTTATTCAATTAATTTCTGATATAATATAAAATAATTTTTCAGAAATCAAGTCTATTGTCTATTATGAGTTTTCAATTATATGATAACGGCAACAGTAATCTAATTAAGTCTTAAAAAATTATGATAATTATATGTAAATTTATATAAAAATATTTTTAATGAGGGGAGAAAATAAGTTAGATCCCCCAAACACTTTGTTAAAATTGCGTCAAAGATCAAAAAAGTATTATTTTTCAGGATTTCATATTGACGTTTTTTTATATTTAAATTGTTATGTTGACTTGATATGTTATTATATGATATTAGATACTTTTGGTTAATATCATATTAGAGCCATTCCAATTATACATCTACTCATAATTAATAAACCTAATTAATATTATTTAAAAAGTAAAGAAAGTAAAAATAACGATTTATTTTGTCCTTGCTTAAATGTAAATGTAGATTTGAACAATAATATTTTTAAACTGTCATTAAATGATGTCAGATTTATAACTTAGACATATGAAAAAACATAATGTAAGTACGAATAATTTTTTAGGCACCCGAAAATATTATATTGGCAAAACACGTATTTCTAATAGATGTCAAACGAATTTGATTATAATAAGTGGTGCTTGGATATGAATAATCTAAATTTAAAGCACAAGTACTATACCAGCTCAAAATATTATGCAATGACCTTGATGCATTTAAATTGGATACTATAAGTTAAGTGCTGTATAGCTTATGTGTATTAACGAATGATTTATCGACTACACTATATTTTTAGTGTTTGTTCACATCATAACGTTAAGGTAATAAGTGCTTTGTGAATACGTTTCATGGAAATAATGATCACTTGATTTTTCGAGGGTAACTTGATTGATAGTGTAAGGAGAGTTCATTCGATAACTTCAAGGGATAAGATTACTCTAATTTAAAAACTATTATATCACACATACATTTTTATGCGTGGAATTTTATTTAAATGTGTAAGCTCAAATATCATATACATTTTATTACAATTTGATAAACAACTAATACATAATTTAATATGAAAAATATTCAAAAGAACGTAGTTGATTAAATACATCAGAATATAATTGATACTAACACTATTTATTACTTTAAAAAATATTATTGCATTATTCAGTAAAATATTTTGGATATTTTAATGTTTCGAAAGTTTATTTATGAAGATTTTGTGAGAAAATAATTAACCTTACAATATCCAAGATCAAATTTATAAATATGTATTTTTAAAAATCCCAAGTTTTATTTATGGATCTATTTATAAATCAAACATGATTTAAATTAAACTGTTAAACAAGATCTAAATTAATTAATGATAGTCATAATGCCTCTATTATTATTTTATAATCTTAGAAAATTGAAATTTTGTAAAATTGAAATTATTTTAATGAGTCACTCTTTTTTATTATTTATTCAAATATTTAGAGACAGTTTTCAGATTCATCGTTAATACATAGTATAAATAAATCATGCTGTCGTAAAACGTTTTCCTTGAACTTGGTCTTTGTATGATTTATGATAACATTGCAGTGGGTAACACGAAAGTAATCGTGATGAATTTTTAATAAGTCGTAACTTAATTAGAATGAAGTTAATAAATAGTGAGAAAGTACACGATGTAATATCATTGTATACTTATGAAAATAACGCAAGTGTTTTCTATATAATATAATGCTTCAAAGGAAATAATACATGTATTTTAAAAAAATCATTGTCAAGAAAAAAATTTTACTTGTTAAATAAATTGAGTAAAATTATTATTTAATTAGTGTTTTAAAAAAATGATTCTATTGAAATCGACGACGTCTCTGAGAATTATATACATATTTAAAATATGTATATCTAATTTATTTATCGGTTTAGCAGATATTTATTTTACAATGTATCGTTAACTTCAACCTCGAAAGCTGAAATTTTTAAAACTATTAGGTGCTATAATAAAGATATCTAATACTGTAAGTATTATACTTGTTTATTAGTATTTGTAAAATTTCAAATAGTTCACTCCTCATAATAGCTGATTTATAACAGATACTAGTAACATTTGATTCATTACAAGTCGAAAAAAACAGAATAGACGACATGCATTATTTAATTTTTTACGTGAAAACATGTCATAGGAAGATAATTTCTCTGCCAAAAATTTATGATATTAAGAAGAATTAAAATGATAGAATTATTTTAAAAAACTTATGAAAACATCCTATGTACTTTTACTAACCACTAAGTAAAATTTGTGGCTTTAGATTTCGCTTTCTTATGATTTAAAAGAAATGTATTTTTTTAGATTTATATTATATTTATAACATAGATCCTCCTAACTAAACATTCAAAAAGTAGTATTATTTGAAACGGTACATCTTTAAAAATGTAAAAATTTCGCTTTCGTTTGCTATTCTTAGTCAGGAAATGTTATGTATATTCAGGAAGCACATCAAGTAATGATGATGGTCTTACATATTTATTAGGTTGAATAAGTTGCCAACATTTTTAGTACTTATTTGGACAAATTCCAACTCTTAACATCATCACCCAAGGTAATTTGTATAAATCGTGAGCACGATGTCTTTAAGTGTAATATGGATTTTGATATTCAACTCTCAAGTAATATAAAGTGCTGCTACACGATAAAACTCTAATTTAGATAAGCATTTTTATTTTTTATTTAATGCCATAACGTAGTTCAATTAGCATTATAATGGTCATAATAATAATATATTTACTTAACTTGTTCTGTATAGTCCATCAAATTTTACCATTATAGAGTTTACAAGTGTTGTAACCTAATTTTAATGCTAAGATTATTAAAGTCATTTAGATCAGTGATTAACTGTAATCATTTGAAAAGTTCTTTAGCTAGTTCAATAGGTTAATTCTTTAAACGGTAGAAAAGAGTATCAAGTGTTCACAAATGAATTACCTTACGCAGCATAGTTGATTGGTGCAAGGTACTCTTGTAAGATATGACTCTTTATCAATTTGGCACATTCCACTTAATATCTAAGTGCGTAATATAATTGGGGTAGAAACTTAGTTTTCTTTTGTGTGTAAACTTGTATGCTGGAAAACATCCAAATATTTATTTTAAACTAAATAGTATTTCAGAATAATAATAATATTTTACATGGTGAAATGGGAAATATAAATAAAAAACTCTAAAAGCAAAGGGAAAAAATGTTTAATTGTTAATGCTGAATAAACCACCATAATTACTCGATTCATATACGTTTAGTAATCGTTTTGGTAAAAATAATAATTATTATTATTATCATCATCACCAACTATAAGGCGCGGTTTGTAGGTTTGTCGAGGTTACATGGAAGTAATGGCTACAAACGACGTAGTATCGATGACAATAATACAATGTTGTGGTGGTACGTAGGACGATAAAATCCATGAAGTTTATGTAACAAATGACGAACAATAATTTTAATTATAATATTTGCATCTAAGATAGAATGAAGTCATTGACTGTAAAAGACAAAGCAAATAGAAAACAATTGTTCAACAATTAATCATAATAATTAAATAATTTTCATTCTATTGAATAGAAATTCAAACTCATAATTTTTTTATATGTACCATACATTATAATTTGACTAAAATAAAATTTAGCGAGATTTATTGATACATTCAACATTTAAAATATGTATATTTTGATGACTAAAATTTACTTAAAATGGAACAGAAACAAACAATTCTGATTTCTGACGAGAGTAGTCAAATTTTTTGTTGGTATGTCTTAGAAAAGTTTTTGTAATAAGAAATAATAAGAATATTGATTAGCAGTTAATCTTATTAAAAATAAATTTTCCAAATGGTCAAAATTGAAACACTAATGCAACTGAAATAAAAATATTTAATTAAAGTAGGTTAAAAAAATGTTATGATATATTCGTTATTTTTTATATAATTTTTTTTTGTATAAAAATTTTATAATAAATTTATTAAATTTGCGCAGTTAATACTATTTGACTAATTATATATTAAAGTAAACAAAATATGAAATTATATTTATTTTGCCAAGATTAATGTAAGTTATAAAAAAAAAAAGTTCTAAAACGTTTGTAGCGTAAAGAAACAGGAAAAGAAGTGTTGATGATGTGTATATTATATCTGTATAATATATACAGAAGAATATTATACTTCTGTTAGCACCACTGAAATATGTTACTTCTGTCGACTTTTTATTACACATGTGTCATGCGAAAATTAGAATTTGCTGCATTTGGCCAATGTGCTGGTGGCATAGTTTTATTAATCTTCACGTTGGCCAAATGATTTTCAGTATTTTTTTTTCTGCGCATAAACAGTAAAATTACATTCTGAAAATATGAACTAAATTGTGTCTGTGTTTTACTTGTACATAACAGTTGCGAACATATTTTTTTCAATTTGTACTCTAAATTTATATTACATGAATCAAATTTAATAGCCTAATCATAAAATCGTCATAAACTTAAGAAAAGAATAAAACTAACTTAGTAATTCAAAAAAAATTATACAATTTATTTTTAATTAGTTTTATTTGTTTCATAAGAGTAAAACGGTCTATGATTTATGTTATATATTTATATTTTATGGAGGAAAATTAAAGTAAATATCTTTTTGTAAAATATACCAAATATTTATCTAGTGAAATATGTCAAAAGTTAATTTTATTAAATATAAGTTATAAAAGGAGATTTAATTAATTTAGGTAAGAGAGGTATTTAAATAAATTATATGCATATAATAATTGCATATTCTCAACATTACTAAAAATAACGTTTTAAATATGGCGGTTTAATAATTAAACTTTTTGTTTACTTCATTTTAGGTTATTCGGCCTACAATATTATCATACTTGCTTTTAACAAAATGTCCATGTATTTTGTATTATTTTACTACAGAAAACACTTTAACACGTAAAAGGCATTAGTGAAAAACGCTGCATTACATTTAATGTTTTCACATAACGCGCAACAGGAAATAAAGCAATGACAAAATACGGTGCATAAGTTTACCAGGGTTCTTTCTAAAAAAAAAAAAAAAAAGAACTGGTTCTGAGCAAAATGTGACTATTAATCAATGTAAGTTAAATGATAAATATATTGATAGAATGAAAATTATTATTGTATACTTAAATAAAACATATTTTTGGCTTTATATGATACTTTTTTTTAACCCTATTTTAATTATGAAACTAGATTTTCTAGATCTACATATTTTTTAATACGGACTATTATATGTTATTTCTATGCATTAAACTTTTGACAGTTACCACCTACTCGTTATATTCTTTAAAAAACCAATGAAAATGTTTAACATTCTATCACACGAAGCTAATTGTTGTTAATTCTTATGGCCTTGTCGTATATTTTAGCAAAAATAGAGTTCAAAATTCCATGCCAAAAAAATTAAAACAGAAAAAAGAGTTGAGCGGACAAAGACTTGGCGAAAATTCAGTTCAATTTCAAACACTCTGTACAAAAAAACAAAATGCTATTGTTTTGTATATTTTTAAATAAATCGTAAAAATAAGTTTTAATTGATTCTCTCAAGTCTCTTTAAATGACTATGTAGTCATTTACATTTAAAAAAATTAATAATTTTTTAAAATGTTTTAAAAGAACATTTAGTATTAGTATTTTATTTTAAATGTCGTTTAATTATAGCTTTTTATAAATAGAAAAATTAATTTAACTTTTTATTGTATTTAACAGACGCTATTATGCGTAAAACAATATTAATTTATTACAGCAAATATTTTTGGGAGAAAAGCGAGTGTTTTATATTTTTTTTCATTAATTTTATTTTTTATAGATTCATCCTATGTATTATATACTAGTAAAATAATTTTAGTGTGATCGTTAAGGAACTTAACCAGTTTTCACATAATTTTAACTTTTGGAAATTTAAATCAGTTTTTTTTACTTAACAGTAAAAATAGTGTTATTAAAGTCATTTTTATACAAACATTTTGTGACCCATTATATTTTCTTAAGTAATATTTTAAGTTGGAAAAATTCTGGAAATAAAATATTTTAGTTTAGAACTATTATGGACTAAAAATATTTGGCAAATCTACAAATCTCTTGTAAGTTTTGCATATCAGCTATATGTTGTTGTTATGTCAAACTCTATGTAATATTTGGCAATATTGCTAAATTCGTACTTTTTTTTTATCTGAACTAAAAAATATGAAATTTAAATATTACAATTTATTTTATAAAGAGTGATTTTTTAACTATGAGTCGTGCAATATCTTTAAAAGTATAAAACATAATATCATTTTTTATTTTCAGAAATTATTAGTACGAACTAAAATTGAAAAAAAAAACAATTTGTTTTCTATTATTTCGAGGTTTTTAAATTGAAACATGTATGTTTAATTAATTAACAAATAAGAAAATAATCTAACTAAGGAAATCATCGGTTGTTAACAAATCTTGTACTATTATATTGGAAGTTATTAAGATGTAATTGTATTAAGAATACAATTTAATAAAAAGTTTAAAGTATTATACTTATTAAAATTTAACGATTTTCCATTATTGCTCTGTGGACCACAAATTAAAGACAATCAAAATTTTATTCATATTTCGTATAGGCGCCAAAATGACGGGCGCGTAATATTTATTTTAAGTTTTTCCACAGAGTAATTGAAAGTTTTGAAAGAAGATGGTTTTAATTTTTGATCATTGCAACATCATGCCAAAACAGTCATAAAATGCTGTAGCCAATATAATGTGCAACCCTTGAAAATGTTTTTCCTCCTTATATATTTCACATCCATAAATCTAGATATATTGTTTTATTTACTAAGGAACAATTCCGTAAAACCTTAAGAAAGTTGTTTATCTTTTTGGATTGTATTCAAAGAAAATATGCCGGTATGGTTGTTTTTCTTTGTGCCATATAAAAGTTTCATTCCCAGTACATATAATATTCGATGTAGTAACTATAGGGATGACGTTTTTGATTTATTTTTCGGTCCTCTCTTGACAGTCATTTGTAAAAGCGCTATACTTATTTAGATACACGTTATGTTCGGAGACGCCAAAATTTAAGCGTTTCTTAATCTTAGTTCGTTTAAAGTAAAATTAATGTATTATTTTGTCTTCAAAATGTGATCCTAATTTTGTAAAAATTACATTGGAATCAATTAAAATTTTTGATCAATAATATTATATCATGATGTTTCATACAACTTTTAAAATATTAGAAGCATAATTACCATAAAGTATTTAAAAAAAAAATACATAGTAAAACAATTTACACTAATATTTCAACCTGTTTTATTTTGGAATTGAATAATTATTATATTTATTCTCAAATTAGGTAAATATAAACCATATCTAACAAATAAGTTATTTAAACATATTTTAAATCATTTTTTATTTTCTTCGTTTTCAATTTATAATAACCATAATTGGTTAATAACTTCATCAAAACCCATAATTATTAAAAATGTTTGATTTTTTTTGTTGATATTCAATGAATAGATTCAGTTAATTTATAATTTTTCGAACTTATATTATCTTATAAAGTACATAACTTTAAAAACAATGTATTATATTGTGAGAATTTCTGACAAAAATCTGAATTGCGTTACAATTACATCCGCATATAATAAATTTGAAGAAAAAAAAAATCAGTATTATGTATTTTTTTATGTACAATTTTTGTACAACCCCTCTTACCCAAGAAATTTTTCTTCTTTGGATTCCAGTGTAACGTTACCCCACCATACGAATTTGTAAATTTAAGTTTTTAACTGAATTAAAGTTGTTGAAATTTATGTAGTTAAATAATTAAATTTTTTAATCAATTTATTTCAAAACTTTTGACAATGTGTGACCTGTTTTTACAAAGTGAAGCGTATGTGGCTATAATCAGAAAGAAAAGGTTCAGAGGACACTTTCTACCCTGCTATCTTCTGAACAAACCTCTTTGAGAAAACTGTAAGATCAATGACTTCTTGCCTATTTATGATTATAAAAGCAGGCTCATTATCTCTATTCAGTATACTTAGGTCTGTAATCAAAAGTAGATCCATTTGTGACTCACCTCTTTGGTAGGTGGAGTTCTATCATTTGTTTATAACAATAATAAGTAGCGATATTAGGTCTCTGGTTAAGTCTAAGAAGTCATGTGATCGGTATCCTGAAGGTACTATAATATTGTTACCATCACTTAATGTGACAATAATAATGTTTGTCAGTTCTACCCTTGACAAATTATGTTTTTTATTTTATTATTAACCAAAATACAAGACTTTGGTCTGTCTGAATGTTTGTAAAACAGTTTAAAGCTCCTTAAGTTTAGTCCCTTAATCCAATTACCATGTAATTATGGTTACTGAATAAATACTATTTGTAAGGGTGGTGTTTGATTCTTAGTTAGGGTCCTCAGCAATATACTGCTGTGTGCAATACTGTGACACAGATTTATCTGCGTGAATTGTATAATATTCTCATACTGACCTCCGCTTAGTTTCTGTGGTTTAAATTTAAAACATTTAAACCTCACAGCAATTTCTCTCAGCTCACATAGTTTGCATCTGTTATCATCGCCTTTTTGCTAGTAGACAGTTCACTAAGAGTCCCGTTGTTCACATTGAGGTTTTCAAATTCAACGATTCTTCTGCGAAGAGTCGTCAATTTTCATTTTTGTACCGAAAGGTTGTCCGTTCGTCACAAGATCATTGTATTGTGGTTTTTCAATATTTTTATTCAATTCTTTGGTTATATTTTAATCAGCTAGCTAAAAATTTATTGAAATTATACCGATAAAAATATTCAAACAAATTTATTTCCTTCTGAAAAGATTGCATCACTAATTTAAATAATTTTTTTACTTAATTAAATCGTTTATATTTTTGTTAGGTTTTTTACCTTTATCACTATCTATATTCATCCATTAAAATAAAAATATCATTTAAAGAAAATTTTCAACATTATTAAATAATATTAGTGAAATTGATACTTAATAATTTAAAATAGAAGTAATTTGAAAAACATTCACTGTTTCAACTATATTATTTACGCAATCAAAAAATATAAATATTTTAGGAAGAAAAACTGACGATTAAAAATATATCTGGAAATAATCTAATTTAATAATTTAAATATTAAAATACTAATAACAACAAAATATTTTCCTCAAAATAGATTTTGTTATAACATAGGACATTATGAATGAATTCAGATATAAATTAATTTGTTTTATAAATATTAGTATATAGATTACAACGAAAATAATCTAATTTTCTAAATTGCACTCTTAATGATTGAAAACATTAAATTATTTAACTACATAAATTTACAACAGATTCAATTCAGTTAAAGACTTAAATTTACAAATGCGGATGCTGAAGTAACATTACCCTGGAAGCCATAAAAGAAAAATTATTTTCTCGGGGTAAGGGGGGGGGATTGTACAAAATTATGTATAAAAAAGTACATAATACTGATTTTTTTTCATATTTTTTATATACAGGTACTAGTGTAATGCACCTAAAAATCTGAAAGTAATTTTTTATAGTTATATAATTAAATAATTAAAAGAGCTATCAAAAAATATATAACAATTTTAAAATGTAGAACATATAAATGTATAGAAGATAGGAAAATGTCATTATTGCATTGCACACTTTATTTTATTTCTTTTAATTCTACGGCTCATATTCAATAGCTGATATGTCTCAAAAATGGTTTTTTGAAATATATAGAGAGAAAATATTTTATTTTAATGTCAAAAAATTATATGAAAGTGTAATGAGAAGGCTCATTTTCGAATTTCAAAAATAATATTTTCAATAACCCATTTGAAGATTATAATTTGTTTTTATTCTCTTGAAAAAGTGACACATCAACTTTTTGAAAATAGCCACAGAATTTAATTCGTGGAAGTATAAATAATATGTATATATGTATTACATATATAAATATTTTATGAACTCGTGGCTGAACGATGTAAGTACAACGCAACTTGTAAGAAATAGTTTGATTTCATACGATAAAAAAAAAACCTTAGAAATAAAATAGTTGACGAAATTAAATCGGTTTCTAAATTCAATTTCAAGTTTAATGACTTTGAATAAAAACGGATATTGTTCAACGTTCAGTATGCGACAATACCATTAATATGGCCCTTTGTTTTATTTCGATTATATTTTTACAGCATAAAATTAAAATTCTATTCTCTTTTATGTGAATAGTTGTATTAAATTTATTTATACATTTATATATAAATATATATATTAATTTACATATAAATGTAACTTTGTCAATATTACTAGGGGCATTGGTATAATTTTACAATAAAAACACTATTGTGGTACGGCATTAGACAGAATAGGAATTTTATATTCATGGTAATATTAAAGTTAGGACATTGTTAAAAACACTTTTCGTTATTTCCAAAAAGATTTTTCGTTTTAATGTTTTAGTATAGCCTAATAATAATATATAATTCTTCTTTTTCAACCTTAATTGTCAAAATACTTATTTGCATTGAAATGTAACAATCAACTATTCTTATAAATATTTTATTGATTATTTAAACTAAAATATTTTTTCAGTCTAAGAATGCTGTAGTACCTAAATTTTTCTTTTTCTTTATT